AGGAGATGCAGGCCATGCCTTCCGTAACTCAGTCTTTGTTTTTGTGGGGAAACTTTCTCCCTCTCTCGAGTGAAAAATATCTCTTACCAAATAGCCTGCGACAGCAAATCACGTAAAAATAACACATATGTTTAACTTAAGATGGCTGATTGTTCAGATGGTGGTGAGGGGCGGTGGGGGTAGTGATTTATCATCTATAGTTTAGAGCTCAAATCTACAGCTTATTTCCAGAGCTTAGAGCTTGGAGTCAATTAGCAGACAGCCAAGGGTGCTGGGTCAGGTGGGCCAGCGACCAGAGGCTGTATGCACTGGTTTCCCCAGCAGCTGATGAAAAGCCCCTACAGGGACCACTGGAGACAGAGAGCGCTGAAGGGCATCCCCTCTGGTACAGATTCCACAGAAAGACTGGCTTTTCAGCAGTTCGGAGAGCTTCTATGCAGAGGACAGGGGCGGGGGTGGGGCGAGGCGCTGAGGCTCACACAGGTCACTCGGGAGGTTAGAGACAATTATTCTGAATATGTGAATGGTTCCTTTGGCTGCTGCAGATGTTTTAAAGCCCTTACAATCACAGGGGCGAGTAGGCTGAGCTCAGCCGAGGAAATCCGGGGTCCGCTAAGCGAGGTGCACAAATAGAAGGGGGACACGATGAACACACACACAGACACAAGTGTCGGCGGCACCCCGGGGGGACACCTGTTAAACTCATTTTCATTTTTCTCTTCTCCTGCTTTCCTCTGCCATGGTCCCAATAGCTTAGATCTGGTTTTGTTTGTTTTATTATTTTTTTCCCAGCAGATGAAGCGATGACGGAGCAGGATAGGTGTCTCATGGTTTCTGGTTTCTTCTCAGGCCTGTTTGCTTATGCTTCCTCAGTTGACTGTTGGCACCTGGCCCCTCTGTAAACTATACTCCTTGGCCTTCAGTCTCAGGCTGGCAATGCTGTTGGCCATGCTGACACCCTGGGCAGGGCTGTCGGTGGTACACGTGGCCGAGTAAGTAGCCATGGTGCTGCGGGGACAGAGGAGAGAGCAGGGAGAATAAGGGGTTAGTACCGCGGTGCTGCCGGTCTGGCCCCGCATGGCCTCGGAGCCCCTTCCAGCCCCCATGTCCACCAGCGTGAGGCACTGGGGTGGGTGGCAGTGTTCTGAAGGGCAGGGAGGGCAGCAGACAGAGGGGCCACGGGGCGGGGCGGGATTTGCTGTGTCGGACACAGTGAGTAACCGTTTATTTCTGGGGTGAGAGAAGAGAGCGGCTCATGTGGGGTGGCAGGTGCTCCATCAGCTGCCCTTCACCTCTGTGCCTGCACTGCCAGCCTGCAGGACAACGGGGAAGAGACGCCGGCCTCCGTAAATACACGGACGGGAATTCTGCCTTCTTCCTTCTTGCTAGTGGGCTTTAACCCTAACACATCTCAGGTCATCAATAAAGGCCACACTGAATAGCAGACTTGGAGAACCAGTGACACAATCCAAGAAAACTTCTCCACCACCCGTGATTCACTAGTCGAGGGGACTCAAAATGGCCAGATCAAGGGCTCCCATCCCGATTGGCCTGGATTTTATAGCTTCTTCTTAACACACTTGAGTGGCTCACAATGTCTTTTGGGTCAGTAATATTTTAGAATGTTTAAATCTCCTAGATAAACTAGCAAAATGTCCAGTTTCAGGAGTCTTGACCTCCAAGTAACTGTTTCTCTCCGCCTTAATGCTGAGAAAAACCCATAGTTGTCTTTCATTGTCAGAGATCGTAATTAAGACATAGGAACACCCCTGATGGGCTCTTGTGATTGACGGTTTCATGTTAATCGCATCCATCAATTTATTTTAGAGGAATAAATAATGCTTTCTTAGACCTGGACACAAATTATACATTACTTTATACTAAACAGTTATACTAAAGGGAAATCATTTTAATTAAATGAAAATGTTTCTAGTTTTTTCTAAGATTAACAAAATCCTTTTGAACCGAGGGCTAGCGTGGGGTTGGTTGACTCCTAAGTGGCATATCTTGTTATCTGCATTCCAGGGCAGTTTTGTCAGCCATACAGGAGTCTGTGATTCTGGGGATCAAGTGACAGATCAGAAGGAGAGAAAAATAAGACTATTCTGCAAAGAGAGAAACTCTCTTACTGGTACTTATTTGGGACACCAGCTAGTCAAGATTCACAATAGCCTGTTTCAGCTCAGTTACAATTAACCCAGGAAAATTAGGCTTAAAGAAACGTAATTAGTCCCAGATCACTGGTCTTTCCAGAAATACACACCCTTAGTTTAAAATTCTTAGAGCACTGGCGTGTGTACGTGTGCGTGCTACGGCAGAGGACGGAGACGCGGAAGGGCTCCAAAGGAATCCTGAGATCTTCCATTTCAGATTTCATTTTTGCCTGCTTCGTTCTTACTCACTTCTGGGTAGATGATCTTAACTGTGTCACACAGTTCGGTTCTGCTGTGACATCCTCTAATTTCCCTTTTGGCACTTTTTAAATTCCTAAACTGGAAGCTCTAGAGACAGACCCGCCAGCTGCCTTATTCACCACCCTATCTCCAGAGCTAGTATCCTGCCGAGCGCATATTTGGTGTTCAAAAACTTATTTAAAGAAGAGACAAATAGCTGAGAACCCTCTAGAACCGGCTAGCATAGGGTTAAGCTGATGGCTGCTTAACGTCCCCACTGTCATGACTTCCAAAAATGTCCTACACATGCTTCCAGTCTTAGGAACTAGTCCTTTCTGTTAATTTTGTTGTCTTCATGGAATGAGGAAAATTAGAAGGGACATAGCAAAACAGGGCTGATGATGGCATATTCTTAGATCCACTAAAAAATAACTTTAACAGTAAAAACAAAAAAAAATGAACAAACATTAGTGCAGGTTAGACTTGCAGAGCTGACTGCCATTTCTACCACTGCCCACCAAGGTCAAAGGCAGGAGAGGAACCCCAGTGAGGGCAGGCCTCAATGAGGACTGAGATAAATGGCTGGAACAACTCATCAAAATGGGACAAGTTGGTTTTTTTTTTTTTAATAGTAGACCAAGAAATTTCATTTATTTTGAAAACCCATAGACACATTTAATTCCTACATGACTATACTGAAAATATATGCAAACACATAAATCCTATACTCAAGAAATGCCTAGGATACCCTGAAACCAAAGATTTCAAAGAAATCAAAGATCTGCAGAGTATAGAAAAGAGGCAATTGGACTTGGGACATGTACCTAAGTGATAGATTCTAAAATCAACTAAATCAGCCTTTTTCAACCAGGCTTCTATAAGAAAATTAGGCCCTAAAGGTGGGCTGTGCTACCATTTTAAATGCACAGGAAAGAAGCTGGAATTCCAAGTTATCTGTACCATTTGTTAAGTACTGAGGCTGAAATGGAATGGCTTCTGAAAACAGAAGGCTGAGACCTCACAGGCGTGCAGAAGGAAATGGATTTGGGGTGGACAGGTCGTCATGAATGTGGGCTTTCACAGACTTGGCCTAATGTTCTGAGTGGCATGTTCCCCATCCTTTGAGCTGCAGGACAAGCAAAGTCCAATTTAATGGAGATTCTCCCCTTTTTAATGTCAAAGTTGCAGCCCATTTGCTCAGCAGGCGAGGGTAACCTGATGGCTTTAGCAAAGATGTTGTCACCACTTTCTAGAAATGTCTACACAGCTGTGATTTTGATTTTATCTATCAGACAGCCATTTTTGCCACAGATACATCATAGTTTACTAATACCAGCTGATATCCTAGTCTGAAGATGAAGCGCAGTAACATATTATATTCTTGGAAGTAGGGCGATTCTCTCTGTCATGGGCCAGATAATAATATCCCCAAATAAATGTTGGCACATACTCCATCTTAAAACCCAGTTAATGAAAATGAGGTTTCTCTTTTGCATAGGAGCTCAGATCATCACTGGGATGTTTCCCCTTAAACAGCAGACTGCCCCCAGAGTTGTGTGAGCACCCTTGTCCACTTGCACTGTGGCGCTGTTATTAGAGCATCACTGGGTCCCAGTGCTCAGTGGGACAGTGTGACACCACGTGACATGCCACATGGGCAGCCCTCAAGTCAGTGGGGCCTGAGGATGAGAAGGCAGCTTTCATTAATGAATGAATTTTGTAATTCCCAAGGAGTTTAGGAAAGTTATAAACTTCCAGAAATTGACCTGACTTATTCTAACATTGCACAGCCATAAAAAGTGGCACAAGGAAAGAGGGACCTTAATTCCCTGCCTCTTAAACGTTTAGGAGACAAATCCTGTAGGCGGAGCCTACAGTGATATGACGAGTACATTCCACGGAATCACGAGTCCTTGGCCCCCAGCGGATTGATGTGGGTACAGCTTCTCGACTGGAGCCGCAGGGAACGCAGGCATGCAGGGGGCGGTCCAGCCATGACAGGCTAGACTCGGTACAGGTCAGAGGAGACAGAACGAGTGAGTGTCACCCCCAGCAGCGCTGGAGATGTGCCTGGACACCGGCAGAATCAGGTGGAGGGGCCCCGCTTCCTGCAGCGAACAAGCGCCGGAGGGGCCAGAGTGGCCGCCATCCGAATGGCTGCTCATGAGCACCTGTTTCCATGTCATCAAAACTTCTGAAGCTCTGTGTCAGGAAAGACAGCCTTGAAAGGCTTCCTTGCAAGACAGAAACCAGTGGGGACAATCAGCTATTATATTCATGACACTGTTTTCAACCGATTTTATAGGGCCATTCAAACTATGTAAAAGGGCAAATCGTTCCTATACAGGATCAAGCTTCCTGGGATAAAAGTGGGAGATTGAAATAAAGTGAATTGTGCAGATCAAGCACAAGATAACACCAGAGCCAGCTAACCAGCACTAAGAGAGCCTGCCTTCTGAGGAGCTGGATGCAGACCTGAGCTGGGCTCTGCACCAGGTTGTAGGGGTTGCCTAAGGTACCGCTTCTATCAAGCTTTTAAGAATGTAAGGTTCTTTGTGTCTGTGACTAAGAAATTTAACTGCTGAATACAGTGCATGGAGGATGTACAGATGAAAGGGGGAGGCTCCATCCCATCTGCTGATTCAGTCAATCTGCACAGGGCGCACGTACAGCTGCCACATTTAAGGAAGCCAGGGAGTTTCCATCTCCAATTTGGAGATTCCTAACACGTGGACCCCAGTCACACACAGAGGATGCTGACCACCAGCAGGACTGCAGTGCCTTTCCCACTGGATGCAGATCATTCTTGGAAATTTCAGCCATCCCTGAGAGGTTGTTGCAAGGAAAGATGTGTTAAATGATCAAACACCAAGAAGTATGGAAATTCCCCCGTGTAGGATTTTAGGGCCAGATACATGGACCTCTGCACCCTGCTTCCCAATCTCCCACAGTGTGGGTCCCGCAGATCACCCCGTGACTAAGGAGAGCTGGGGGTGAACATGGCCTGACTCAGTTTCCAGCCCTAGCTCTGTTTTCTGTCAGCCCTTTTGGACGGTGGGTAACAACGCCACCTCAGTGCCGTCCCAGAAGCCCCTGTGTCTGCCTGAGACCCCGGGGCTGCACGGGCTTGGGGCTTCTCCAGAGGCAGTGGTGCTACCGTTTTTCAGACTGTGCTGTGCGAAGGCCAGAGCCCACGCCTTGCGTCTGTCCTGCCATCATGAGGAAAGCAGAGGCGTGCTTGCTCCTTCTAAGGAAATTCTGTAGGTTTTCTAGGTAAGTTGACTTTCAAAGAGCAACCCCATGAATCCCCTTGAAAGCAATCTTTTGTGATTTGAATAAACAGTTCTAACTTCTGTTTTAAAATTCAGGAGATGATTCTGTAAGTGTGCACTCAGCTCTTCAAGAGGACGTGCTTGGACCGCACTTCATCTACAAGCCTTCCCTTTTCCCTGCACGCTCAGTGTTCCTTCCGACACTTGTGACTTTGCTTTGTAGAGAAGTTTTTGTACACGGAGACTTGCATCTTTCTGTCGTCCCAAGGGTGTTTGTACTTCTTTTTGGAAATGCATGTTGATTACTTATAGGATCCAAATACCCCTTTGACGTGTGTAGGGAAACAACCGCCCCGTCTTAGACACAAGTCTCCATAGGAGATGGACGATCCATCTGGCCTGGGGGCCAGCAAGCCAGGACGAGGACACAGCCCCTTCCTGTCATCAAAGCCTCACCGCACAGAGGCGGTGTGTCACCAGCCCAGGCGTCACGATGGAGCTCAGAGGCCCTTCCTGCATCCAGGTGTGCGTTGTGTCGCGATGCCAGGGGGCCGCGGGCTCGGGAACCTTGGGGACCCTGCCCTCGGCTCTCGGACTGCCCTGAGCTTCGCGGGCGTGGTTTCCCACCGAACACCCCCCTGCGGGCTAGCGGCTCACCTCCCCGCCCTGCACACCCCGCTTCCTCGGACGCACCCAGTCCCCACGTAGCGCTGCCCCAGCAGCTGCCCTCCTCCCCGACAAGTTACCTTCTCCGTGTCTTCGTTAGAATCCGTTATGAAGCCCCTCGTGTAAACAACATCTTGGGAGAGATGAGGATCTATTTTTGAAAGTGTGAAAGGGAGAAATGAGCCAAAAGCATCCCACGGATGTCAGGCTGCGCCGTGCCCGCAACACGCAGGGGGGAGGACGGGGTGCTGGACAGGCAGGACCCTTGGTTCCGCGGATGCCCAGCCCTCCCTCTGGCAAGGGGGTGGCAGACCCAGGCCGCCCTATCTCTCCCAAGAAAGGACGTCCCTGGGGAAAGGGTTCTTGGCCATTCACCTCAAACGGAGCGTCCGGACCTTGGCTGACCGCTGTGGCCCCAGGGGCACAGCACCCTGAGGTCAGTGAGTCTCACTTAGCCCAGGAGAAGTTCGGGACTGAGTGTGGGCATGTGCCCAAAACAGCTCCTTTCAGGGTGGCGCTGTCTGCGTTAGGGATGCTCTGCCCCCTCCGGAGACTCAGCGGCCTGCCTGGCATCCTCACTCTAACGGGCTTGGGGGCGAACGAGATCATGGGTGTTATCTGTACAGTGAGCCACACGTCCCTGTTCACCAGGACCATCCCGGCTTGTGCCTGCCTTCCTGGTGTGATGATGCCTGGCCCTTCTCTTCACTCTCAAGAGTGTCCCAGTTTGGATGAGAAATTATACAGCCACCATGCTGGATATAAAAACCCCAAGAAGTGTTGGCTGTTTCCCTTCCGGTAATTCTAACCACATGCAAACGATTGCTTCGACCCTTGCTTCCCTTCCCCCTCCTTCCAGGGCAGACCTGTGGAGGTCAGCACGCTGTCCTCCTGACGGAAAATCTGCTCGCTGTCCCTGGGGGGAGTGAGGAAGGCACAGGAATCCCCCCGAGGGGGGCCCGCGGGCCCTGGGATGTGGCCTCGGCTGCAGGCACGCCTCACCAACCCAAGGCCACAGGCCCCGAGTCAAAAGGCAGTTTGACAGCCTTATGCATTTTCCTACGTTTAATGTGTATAAGGTTTGCTTTGCATGGAAATGTGGGTAGGTGGCCCGCTGTGCCGGGCAGGAGCCGGATCTGGCACTGGGCCCTAATCTCTTGCTGAAGGCTTGTGCTCGGGCAAGTGTTCAGTCTCTTCTTTGGCCAGAGCCACCGCACAGGAGCACCCCCCGGATTAGCCAGGAGAGGTGCCTTTTAACAAATGTCACAGGTGAGACGGTAACGTGGCGTGACAGAAACAGCAAGTTACTTCCCATGACAGAAAGGTTTTCATCCCTCTGCTTTTCATCCCGTGCTTCTCCCTTATATTTCCTCAGCAAGACTTGTATTTCCTACCAAGCTTGAAAATGTGAAATCTTACCATATTTTGGTTCTAAACAGAGCAGAAAATCTCCAAATAACAGAATAGCTTTTTGCCACTTTTAGAAATTAATCAAAATGTAAACACTTCCGTCAACATTGGGTCAAAACATTATTCTTGATTAAATTACTGCTTTAAACAATCACTTTCCTATGTACATCTGGAGAGTAATTTATTAATACAGAATATGAAAAACCAGATTCTATGAAATTTTTAATTATTTCTCATAAACTCTGTATCTAAGAAAGAAATGATATAAAAGTATACCATGAAATGAGTAAAAAGTACTTATATGATTTTAAGTGAAATGAGCAGAATACAAAATAGTATGTACACTAAATCTACCCTCTATAAAATACTGAACTCTAACGGCAAAAATAAACAAGCTAGTTAGGTCAAGATGGTGGAAATATGAGTATTTCTAAAAAAATCCATCTGGTATTTCTACATAAACTTTCATATTAATATAGAACATTTCCCAAAAAAGCACACATGAATTGTATGTCAATAATTTCAGTTAGATGCCCATGCACAAAATATATGACACTGGGCACTGGGGCAGGACCTGTGCTGAGGTCTGGGTGATCTTGGTATTAATATTGACCCAGTGTAAGATCAGGACGTATTTCATCCCACTCACAAGTGTGCTGCCCTCGGCTTCCCACTGGAAGGGCCCGGTGACAGCCACCTGCACTGTTCAGAGGTGGTGTGAGAAGTTCTAAGTAGGACCCAAAAAGAAAAAGGAGTAACACTTCCTGGTTACAACCAAGTTCAAACCATAGACCTTAGATGCTAAGCTTTGAAGCACCTCTGTTTCCCAAGCCACTTAGTGAAGCTATGAACTATCAATGTTTATCAGAGAGACAAAGCAATCTCCCAGTTATTTAAAATATTAAAATATGTGATTTCACAGCAGTCTCTGAAATGTTTTTTAGTAAATCATATGGGAGAGGAGTGTAAGTTTTAAGACACAAAGACATGACCAATCACCCATACTCATCTCAGGTATACTGTATCTGAGAGCGACAGAAACGCCCAGTTCTTTAGGCATGTCCTAAGACCAAAATAATTCAGGCCTGTTTCACAATGGGGGCTTTAAAAGAACTTTCCAAATACATTGAGGGTGTTTCTTTCAAGGAACTGATCTGGAACCTGAAGACCCGCTTTGTTTAAAGCGACCAACTTTTGAAAAATAATTTGCATTTCACAGTTGTGGCATTTCACATCAGGAGCTCACCTTCAGAGAGAAAATGATTACCCTGTAATTAGTTTAAGACCACACCTTAATCCATTAATTAACCCTAAACCAGTAAACAAGTATATGTGGTGAATTTGTGGCTTTTTCTGCCACTCAGTCAGCCAGAGAGAACAGACAGCCTTGCTCTGCTTTCTAAGAGTCGTCAGGTTCAGGTCCAAAGAGCGGCACTCTTCAGGCGCCACGTCCCGGCTTCCCTCCGGCAGTAACTTATCCCTTCTGAGCAGCATAGTAAGTGGAGGTTAAAACCTTCCCAAGAGATTGAAATAGCTCTCTGCTATTTGCTTCTCTAAAAACTTCCACCTTTTTAAATATGAAAGTTTAGAGTGAATGATGCATTGTTTTTATATTTAAAAATCCCTCACAAACTGATCCCCGAAGAATGTCAGTAAAGTAGGCAAGATTTAGCAATACGACAGGAAGGCATTTGGGGTCCTGAGGCATCCCCACTTTTACTACCAAAGAATCTGGCCACAACCAGCCCAAATGGTCAGTGTGACCTTGAGTTTCTTTCCCTTCCCCAGTCTGTCTCCCTCACCTTCCTTCTTTGCTATTAATTCAAAGTCTGTGTTGCTGGAAGCCCGCCTTCATCCTGCACCCAGAGCCTTACACGTTACATTTCCACTGACATAATAACGTAAATCTACCTTAAGTTTGGATATGGAGTTAAGTTCTGTCCCAGAGTGGTTGTGAGAGGGACGGTGGACATAGCTTAATGATCTTTGCTTTCGGATTCGTCCCTATCTTTGAAACCTTTGCAAAGTTCCTGAGTCCAGGAGGAGATTGCTGAGGGCCTACCCTCTCTCTTCTGCCCCAAACCCTGCTTCCGGGGCAACTAGCAATCTCCTGTGAAAATCTGGGGATGTCAGCAAGTTGAACGTCTCTGCAGAGGTAAACTCCATAAGATAGGTCGGCCAGCTGCACACACAGGTGTGGCCGGGACCGGCCACCGAGAACCGAGCGCAAGCGGAGCAAGGGAGGGCGGGCCTGCCATTCACCTGTACGGAGAGGCCGTCCCCCAGGACAGGTAGTCGGTGGGCCTCGGCGCCGGGCGGGGCACGACGGGCTGCTCCACGGCGGTCACGTCCCCGGAGTAGGACTTGAGGAGTGAGGCGTTCTTATTGGCCAGCATGGCCCTCTCATTGCGGCGGAACTTGGCTCTCCGGTTCTGAAACCACACCTGGAAGGGCGTCCGGAGGAGAAGGGTGTGAGCAGTGGAGGCGAGCACAGGACAGGCCCTGGGGGTGAGGTCCCAGGCGGGCTCCCCATCTTCACGGCCCACAGGGCCGTGACTGGCCCGGGGGTTACGATCCAGGGGCCAGGTGTGCCGAGTCAGAACCCTCATGAGGGTCCTGCCCCAGATGCAGTGACATTTTCAAGGTGTTTTCAAAATCCCTCAAAATGTGAAAACTTTGTCTGCTTCATAATGTTTACGGGATACTTAAAGGAAATCCCCCACCTTCCCCCAAAAGGAGGCCCTGGGACAAGGATTTAAGCAGCAAGCAGCTTACGGGGGTCGGGGGTGGGGGGTGGGAGGAAGCGACCGGAGGCAGAGGAGCCTCTAGGAAGGCTCCACTCTGGCCTGACCAGGGGCCCCCAGGGCAGGGCAGGACGGCAGCCCAGGGCCGAGCTTCAGCACGCAGGCCGTCAGTCGCAGTCCCCCGGGCATGCTGAAGGCAGGCAGGGTGCCCTCCTGAGGCCCTGGGAAGAAACCGGAGCCCCCAGCAAACAGGGAAGGCTGGCTGTACCTGGGGTCCATTTAACTGCAGGGCTGGAGGGTTGGCCAAGGCTGGGCATGAACCCACCAGCTAGTACAGGCTGCAAGGCCAGGGACCCACACAGGCACATTATACACGTTCCTCCCAGTTACCATGCTCTCCACAGAGTAGTATGCAGGTAAACGGCTGAGAGTTTGTGTCCCAGGACCTCTGACCCGTGACCTGGATGGCCGTGGGATTTTATTCCTTCACTTACTCCTTACAGAAACCTCCACGGGACACCTGCCTGGCTCCGGACCCAGTGCTGTGTGCTGGGAAGAGAGCTGAGACTTGCTGTCTGCCTGTGCGTGGCTCAGTCTCATAGAAAAAGCTGTGAACATTGGAGAAACTGCAAAGCAAGTACTGTGGGTACAGTTATAGAAACGCACAACAAGGTGCAGGAGAAAGAAATTCCATGGTGAGCGGTGGGGCGGGTGCATGGCTCCGGGCAACGTGCACAAAATACCACGTGCCTGGGCCCCGTGCAATGAGTGTGCAGCTCATGGGCCCGTGTGGGGTCAGGAAAGTAGAAGTTGACTCCTGCCTGGCTTTGCAGGCTCCCAGCTTTTTCATCCCGACCCCCTTCATGGGACTTGTAGAGAGCTGCCACTTTACATGCAAACAGAATCATATTAGTGGCCGGCTTTGCCTCACTCCTGACTCCCTGCCACTCACAGAATGACACCCATGCTTCTTACCAGCGGACAGAGGCTGCTCAGGGTGGGGTCTTTGTACACCAGCAGCCCCACCCTGAGCCCCTTGGCCCTCGTGCGCAGACCTCTATCCTTCCAGCTCCTACTGCAGGCTCAGGGCCACCAAATCTGGTCCCACCACATGCTCTGTGGCCCTGGCAGCTCCCCTTTGTCCAGCTATGGGAAGACAGATGTTAGAGACTCGAGTTCAACAGTGTGCCCTGTGTAAAAGGTTGGAGCGGAGCACAACTTCGGAGTCTCAAGGAATTGGATTCGTCACCAGGCAACTGGTGCCCAGGGTCCTGACCACACGGAGCTGTCCTGCAGGCTGCTGGGGCAGGTGCGGGCTCCCCTTCCTCCCGCCCAGCCCTGCTTCCCATTCAGCCTCTAGAACAGGGGTCATCCTGCACCCTAACTCTGCACACCTGTCTCCTCTGGAATGTTCCTGCAGAGGAGGCCAGTCCTACTCATCCCATTCCAGAAGGCCAAAAACTGTTCCAAGCACCTAGTGGCTGCTTGATAAACATTTGAGGGGAAACAAGAGGAGAAAAAGTGAGTTTTGTAAGGATGGATGGTAAGACTCGGCCTCAAGGACTTCCCATCCCCCGGGCGGCTGGCCCCCGCACAGCCCGATACAGAACCTGTCAGGGTGTGATTGGCTCTGTAGGCACAAAGAAGGCTGGAGTTGGAGGGCCGTGGCTCACACTGCATTTGCCCCCATGGAGACTGTCTGAGCTGGAACAAGGGCCCCCACCCACTTTCTCCTGTCCTACCCTCAGTGGCCCTCAGAGTCTCAGGGAATTGGATTCATCACCGGCCAACTGGTGCTGTTGTCCTGGCTGCTGTCCCATTTGGCCACCAGGATTTTCTCCCCAGGGGAACATGTAGGCAAGAGCTCATTCCCCTTTGGGGAAAATACCTGAATTTTCTCATCAGGCTGAAGGGGCCTCGGGATCCTCTCCCTCAACCCAACATGGACCACCATGCCTCAGGGGTCAGCAGGCCTCCCGCCCCCAAGCCCTTCGGGGTCAGCTCAAGGCCTGTCCATCAAGAGGCTCTTATTTGCAGAAAGAAATCTCTCAAGCCCAAACCTAAGACAGACATTCAAGCAATAATTTCTTCAGGAAGGAGGCAGATTTGGGCCCCCACTCATCAAAACAGCAGCCAACCATGGGCAGTGCCAAGACAGTAAGATCTGACTCTCAGCAGAGACAGCAAAGTACTTCCAGGGAGGCATGCTGCCTGGAAGCTGCTGTCTAAGGTCCATGGTGATGCTACAGGCAGGAACACGAGATCCAGACTCAATTCCCAGCTTAGCCACCTCTGAGCTAGGTGATCCAGGCAAGATACTTAACCACTGGGAGCCTCAGTTTCTTTAGCTGCAAGATGGAGACGCCTACCCACCTCACCGGATCGGGTGATGATAAACGGTGCATGTCCAGGACTTGGAACACACCCTGGGCAAGGGCCTGGGGGGCGTTAGCTTTCGTAGCATTGTCTCCATCATTTCTACTAACCGCAGGCTGTAGTACTTCCAGACATACGGCTTCTAGCTGGCCTGTCAGCTAGGCATCAGCCTTAGAATGGCTGCTCCCTCTTTGCCCTGCCCCACTTCACAGAAACCCCAGATCACCCGCAGTTGAGCCTGGAATGACACCACTTCCTACCCAGTTGAAAACCTGAGGGTAACTGTTGACACCCCACAACGAAGCTACGAACTGCCCACTGTTGACTGGAATCCTTACCCATAACACAGTTGATTAACACCTGCGTTGTATGTTGTGTGTCTCCTACACCCTATTCTGACAGTAAGGTAAGCTAGAGAGAGTGTTTTCTTCAAATTGTTACAAATCTCCAAAGATTTTTCCCAATGTGTTCATTGAAAAGAATGTGCGTATGGGTGGATCTGCACTTCCCTGCCACGCTGTTCCAGGCGGCCTGGGCTCGAATGGGGTCCTAACATAGCCCCCAGGGGTGGGTCCGTTCCCTGAGCTCACTGCCTACCCCCACAGTGTCCATAGCCCTGTGTATTTATGACAGGTTTGTTCAATTCCCGAAGTCTGAGGTGGGGATGGAGACCTCAGTTCTTGGGCAGCCCACAAGCTCAGGTTGGAAGCTGGAGGTACAGAGTCAGGGCTCCGCTGGGCCGTGTCCCTGGGTGAGCCTGAAAGGGTGGGGGCAGTGGGTGCTCTGTGCTGCCCGGAGCCTGTGACATGCGTTTAGAAAAGCCCTGCTGCCGGGCGAGGAGGTGATTCCGTCCCCTCGCTGCCCGTCCGCAATCCCATCGGCCGGACCCACAGGTGCATCTCCATGGGCCCGAGGAGGGACCCCGGTTACCTGCACGCGTGCCTCCGTGAGGTTCACCCGGCGGGCCAGGTCTTCGCGCACGAAGGCGTCCGGGTAGTGAGTCCGCTCAAAGACGCGCTCCAGCGCCTGCAGCTGGCTGCTGTTGAAGGTGGTCCGGTTCCTCCTCTGCTTCCGCTTCTTCTTCTCCTCTGAGTTCGGCTGGTCGTCTGTGACGGAGAGAACCGAGCATGGGGGGCCGGAGCCACGGGGACCGGGCGTGCTCCCCCCGCCCTGTGCACAGGGAGCCTGCTTCTGCGCCCAGGTTCACGGCCGAGAACCCCCAGCAGTGCCGAGGCTGCCGGCGTCCGTGGTGGGACCGGCCCTGCGCTCGGAGGGGCATTCGTGCCCAGCCCTTGCGGCCCGTTTGCCAGAGGGTTAGAGGGAAATCCCGCAGCCGCCCACACTCTCTGGACTCTGGAGACGGGGAAAGCCCAGTAGACTGCGTGGAGCTTATTTGTCCTAGATGAAATTATGTTCACTCTTGTAGTTTATAGCCAAGGAGACCAGCTGTGCCCTGTTCCTTCTCTTCAACACACCCACCCAAATGTAAATGCAGTTAAAGAGGAGCACGGGGTTCAGAGGGACTAGGGGGGTTTCTTTCGCACTGTGCATTCTCCTGGCAACAGTGGGTGATTCCTGACTGCACTTGCTCAAGGCCCCGCACCGCCACTGAGGCTCCAGGGGCCTCGGCCCAGGTTGCACCAGCCCCAACCCTGAGCAGACCGTGGCCTGGGACTTCCCCTGTCAGACCAAGAGCAGAGAATAGCACCGAGCGACATCTGAAGCAGCCTCACCCGAAAGTTGAGCTCTGGGGCCCTGGGAGCATAGCGACTTTTGGAGAATCATGACCCCATATTTACCTGTCAAGTTCTCCTTGATTCTCTCCATGTTCCCCAGCAGCACCTGTCTGGCTTCCTGTGTTTGGGGGCCCCCAGCTGGGGATCCTGCTCTAAGTCACCTGGATACTTTACATAAGCATGCTGGTCAGTGGCTCCCTGAGAGAAAGCCAATTCTGTTTTGATTTCTGGGGGTCTATCAAGGCCTGGAATATTCTAACCAACGTCCCTGACTAATCGGTTGCTTGGTTGTTACCAAGGTAGTTTGCAACAATATCACCAGAAGAGTCCAAACACCTGGGACCAGACACCTGTCAGTGGCCGCCCTGTGTTTGTGCCCCTTCCTCTCCAAAGGCTCGGAGGCCTGCCGGCCTTTCCCACCCTCTGTCCTGAGTCTTCCTGTCTTTGGTTCCCTGTGTCTTGCACGTCAGGTCTCTCTAGGTCATCCCCTTTCTGATGGCACCAACACCTGCATTTCATGCGCGTATTAAACGTAAGTCTGCAAAAACTCCTTACCTCCAATCCATAACTGCCCCCTATTGAGACCAGTTGGACCACAGGCTATCATTTTTAATCATTAAAGGAAATCCCTTGGGAAGCCAATCTCATGATTTGTCTTCTTCCCTCAAAACAAATGCTTTCTCAGGAATAACTGCACATTCCAAATCCTTTATCCTGTTTTGTGAGCCTAGTTCTTTGTGTACCACCAGCCATGATTGAGAACGGGCGCACTTTATGTTTGTTCCTGGTTCTACAACCTGCTGCATAATCTCTCGGCAGTCCTTTGAAATTGTCCACCGTTCACTCGGATTCCACCGGCTGTCTGCTGCATACCAGTGGGCCCCCAACGTGGGAGCAAGGGAGATGGAGAATTACTGTTTTTGACAGAGAATAAATAGCTATGACGACCTGAAACGGTGCCAACAAACGTTTCCCAGTGAATGTTGTTGTTTTTAACAAATGAAAACACCACTCAGCTCAGGTTGAAGGTGAGAAAGATACACAAACCACAGGGTCTGGGTCTGGGTCTGGCCAAGGTCCTTCAAAGCACAGGGATCGTAGGAATCGGCAGCGACTGGCAGCCCAGCGGCCCCAGCCGCCCTTGCTCACTAAGCACAAACTGAGCTCCCCGTCATCAGGAGCTACAGACAGGAGGCACGCAGGCATGTGAACACACGCAGGCTCGCAGACGTGGAGCGTGGGAAGGACCTGCGGTGGGCACTGTGGTTGGCATCTGGACTTGGTTAAACAGGGGAGAGGACAGGTGTATGGTCATCACCCGGGGATCATCCTTCTTGAAAAGCGGCTCTGCTGAAGGCTGGCCGAGGCTTGCTGTACAAGGGTCCAGACATCCAATGGGTCCCCAGGAGGCTCCTGAGCCCCGGAACTCTGCAGGGGGCCGGGCTCACCAAGCTGCAGGATACCCGGGCGCAAGGGAACATCTGCATCAAATTCATGTTTCTGCCCCAGGTGCTCATGGATTTCACGGCCCTAATGGACAACTGAGTGAACTGTGAACGTACAGGCGGGGCCACACGTTCTGATGAACACAGCCAGGTGGCCAGTTAGCAGGCGAATTTCCCCTGGAGCTCTGGTCACCTCATACTGTGCTGAATGGGACCGCGGGATGTTGTCTAATTCAACCTCTTACTTGATGACTAGAGGGCTGGGTGAGTTCCCAAATCACAACACCGAGCGTGGAGCAGAGCTGAAAGCCAGGACCCTGACCCCCTCCACTCTGGGGTGCACATGACAGGACACGCTGTAACTGGACAGTGAGCACCAGTGATACCAATGAAAACCCCTGCCCTGGGAAGAGTTTTATGGGAAACACAGGTGCTCCCATGCTGGCCACACAGAGAGGGTCTCGGAGAGGGGCCCCGTGCATCCCCTGTCACCCTTCCTACCGGGATAGCCATGAGCAGCCACGCACCCTCATGGAGAAGAGCTTCTCTCACCCAGACGTCCTTGAGTTCTCCTTCCCAGTGGCCTGCCAACATCGTTGCTCATCCACTGAAGATGCGCCGGGTGACTGCAGTGCAGTGGTATGCCTCTCCTCCACCTTGTCCCCACATCCATTTCATTTTAGGACACTTTTCAAAGTCTGTTCCCTGTGACACATCTCAAATCTCACCTCCTCCGTAAGACAGCCGATGATGCCAGCCCGTATTGCTGCCTCTGCCCCCTGAATTCCTGTATGCCATTTAGCGCATAGATACTCACTAAAAATTATGACTCAGTTCTTTCTACGTCACCTCGACGCTTTGAGGTTCTCCTACAGAGAAGACATAAGGTCTCTTGATCAATTAAATGACAGTAAACATTGGAGGGCCTGTAGTGGTGTTGGGGTGCAGACGCAGCCCCAGAAAATTAAGACTCTGGAATTTCTGATTCCCATCATTCTTCCTAGCAGTGCATAGCTAATAATCCATTCAGCATTATCTTTTCTCTGTGGATAGTTTCTCCTGGGGAGGAAGAAAAGACCTTTCCCCGTGTTTCTTTTTTCAAATAGGTTAGTCATCAGATTCCGAGACAGCAGAAGCTGTGTGGCTCTAATTCCTTCGCGAATGCAGAGGATCCTTCATTTTCCTTCCTCACTGGAAAAGCAGCTCCCAGAGAAATGAGGGCTTTAAACGAACAGGAATACACGCGATAGCAAGATGCCAAAGAGAATGGTGTTTCCACTGGGTCAGGATGTAGAAAACACGTGGGGCCTCCCCGGGGAAGAGAGTGCCCCATTCTAGGAGGATGCCGCATATGCACTAAACTACACGTGGCACAGGTCAGGCCTCCACCCCTGGCTCTGCCGTGAACTCCGCTCTGGATGCCTCCTGCAGCTGCTGAGGCTGAATTGAAGAGAGGGTGCCAGACAGCCTACAGCCTGGGGCCAGGCGGCAGGCAGATCGCTCACCGAGGCGGGTGCTGGGAAGGCCTGGTACCTCCCTCAGACCAGGCCCTCAGCTGATAGTAGGTGGTGCAAGCCTCGGGGGCCCCAAACTTGTCAGCAGATAGAATTTAAAGGTACAGCGAAAACATACTTTAGGAGTAAAGTCTGAAGGAAAACGTGTTTCTTATGCCTGAGCAACATCAATTTGGGAAGAAATCTGATGCAAGAGATACAGTGCCAGTTTCAGTAGCAGAAACCAGCCGCCACATCAAAGCCTGTCATCTGCTTTTTGGTGGAGCGCAAGGCAGGCGAGTGGATCTAAAGAGCAGCCCGCCGATCATTTTATGGGCACTGAAGAATGTTTTCAAAGGAGCTTACATGGCATAACAGCTACTTACTTTAGTGGGATTTGTGCAGTCCTGCAACCCTTGGACAATTGGGGGAAGTATAATGGCAAAAGCCACTAAAAATGGTTCAGTTTTCATTGCAAGGCCTGAGAAAAGCTGTGAGATGCAGCCTCAGCACGCACCTGAGTTTCTCTAGGTGCAAAGTCAGCTCCAGTTGGAATTCGGACAGCATCCTTCTAAGATGTGCCTGACACATGGCCCACGGGCACATGGGATGGCTGCTGAGGGCCCCGCGCCGGCCACAGCAGGCTCAGCAGCCCCCGCAGGGCCCCTCCGAACCAGAGGCGCTGGGCAGAATGCGCTGTCGTCACAGGTCAGGCTGCACTTGGCTTGTTCGTCTCACACATTCCCTCTGCTCTCTGGGACCACATGGATGACTTGCCCCCCATCAGCATTTCCCACGTGACTCTGAGTCTATTTTGGAGAAACTTCAGAGTACAGAGTTTATGCTTGTATTTAGTTGAAGCTCTTATCAATGCTCAGTAAATACAAATCAGTAATCAGGCATAAGTTATTCCTACATTGAAATTATTAGTGTAGTTACTGAACAGAGTGCCTCCTTCCATGAAGACACAAAATCTAGCTTCAGATGTGTCACAGACTCCCAGTTTCTCTGTGGATGAATCGCTTGCTTGATTTCCAGTTCATTTCTGGATGCCCAGAAACATGGAAAGTAAGCATGCGTCAACCAGAGCAATGGAACTGTAGGTGCGAGGGGCACAGAGGCGCACAGAGGGAAGGTGCCCAGGGTCAGACGGCGTTCGGCAGGCTCCGCTCCTCACCAGCCGTGTGGCCACAGGTGAGACATCCCTTCCCTGACTTTGGCTTTTGAAATAACACAGTGGAAGTAAGACCACCGCCCGCTTCCCAGGCTCATCTGAAAGAGCAGGGCGCACGCTGCAGCGCAGTCTGGCCCGTGGCAGGCCTAGGCGGGAGGGGCCCCCAGGCTCCCGCCACTCCTGATCTCCCTCGCTGGGGACGGGCTGGTCAGACTGCTGCTTGGACCCTCTCTGCCCTCTGCTCCCTGTCGCTGTGGG